AGGAGGATGAATAAAATGATCAAGGGTCTGGAGAATAATAACGTTATAATAATAACTTTATTTTTGTACCCTGCCTCCATCTCCCTGAAGGGACTTGGGGTGGCTTATATGGGGATGAGCCTGAACAGCATAATTAAAATATGGCACATTAAATATATAGCAAGCCCTATGAAGAGCAGCTTAAAGAGCTGGGCATGTTTAGCCTGAAGAAGAGAAGGCTGAGAGAAGATATGATAGCCATGTATAAATATGTGAGGGGAAGTCACAGGGAGGCGAGAGTAAGCTTGTTTTCTGCTGCCCTGGAGACTAGGATGCAGAACAATGGCTTCAAACTACAGGAAAGGAGATTCCACCTGAACATGAGGAAAAAATTTCTAATTGTGAGAGCTATTCAGCAGTGGAACTCTCTGTTCCAGAGTGTGGTGGAGGCTTCTTCTTTGGAGACTTTTAAACAGAGGCTGGATGGCCATCTGTCAGGGGTGCTTTGAATGCAATTTTCCTGCTTCTTGGTGGGGAGTTGGACTGGATGTCCCACAAGGTGTCTTCCAACTCCATAATTCTATGATTCTATGTCACTCGTCAACAACTTTTATCAATGTTCTCCAGAATGGCCAATTGTGAGATGAGGAATAATGAAATATAAGTGTTCTTGTCTGACATTTAATTCACCCAAACTTTGAGAATTATTTTTTTAAAAAAAAAACAGGTTAGGATTATAAAAAAGTTTGCATGCATTTTTCTGCACATTTTAACCCATACATTTTGTATACTTTTTCTTGAGTATATACTTTACAAATAATATCCTTACTAAAATATGCATTTGAATTTTTATTTTTATGACTATACAATTTTTGTGGTGTATTTTCCTCTGATAAGTCTCTTTTTGGATGCATTTTTGATGGATGGACTCCATTGCAAATTTCAGAAAAGTGTGAGTTTTCAAGTTCTGATTTTCTTAATGTTTCTAAGAGAGCAGTTAAATAAATTTGCATTCAAAGGCATACTTAACAGATGTCTATCTGTAAACTGTGTTTACCCCCTAAATGAATGCTTAAGATGAGATCCATTGGGATGGTTAGTCTGACAAAGTGTAGACTCATATAATGCAGTTTAATGCAGTTAACTGCATATGGCAGTATAGATGTAGCCATAGAGAGAATGACTGGTGAACTTCACAGTTGAGTTGAGACATTTTACCCCAGGTCTTCTAATTCCTGCTCTAACACTCTAACCACTCCAACCACTATACCACATAACTCATATTATTCATCAGAGCATGACCTTCTAATTCTGCAAAAGTGCTATTTGCTTCCAGGGGATAATGTATTTCTTTGATTCTAAGACACACTTCCCCCCCCCCCCCACCCCATCTAAACCTCTCTAAAAATCAGCTGTCTCTTAGAATTACAGGTGTTTTTATATATGTATAAATAAAGCTTTTTTTTTCTTCCGTTGATGGTATTGAAATAAATGTGCATCTTACAATGGATAGCGTCTTAGAATTGGAGAAATATGGTGGTATATTTATGTAGACCTAATATGTTCCTTGCTTTGCCTCTAAATGAGACTGTCTCTGAAATTTCCCTCCTATACATTCTTCTAGTTTAAAGGCCTCATGAACTCACTGTGAAATTTGCCCTACATCATCTGGGAATGGGGAATTTTGTGTCATTTTTTGATCTTATATTCATTCTCTCCAATTTCCACATTATTTTGTAACTTAAAGTATCTGTTAATTTTTGTAGACTTTTTTCTAAATGTTTTTCTATAAATTTTTGTAACAGAACTCATTCTTATTGTTCTTGTGTGCGTTCAACTGACATACTTGTTATAGGATTTTACGTAGATTCAAACCACTATGCTATACTAATCCTATTCAGGTTGACTATCCCTTATCCGTATTTCAAAATCTGAAATATTCCAACATGTGGAATATTCCAAATATTCCACATGGCTGAGATAGTGACACTTTAACTTTTTAATGGTTCAATGCACACAAAATTTGTTTCATGGACAAAATTATTTAAATTATTGTATATAAAATTACCTACAGGCTGTGTATTACATACACACACAACATAAATACATTGAATGTTTAGCTTTGATTCTACCTCCAAGATATCACATGATGTATGTCTATGAAAATTCCAAAATTCCAAAATTCCAAAAATTCCAAAATCTAAACTTTACTCAGGAGATATTCAACCCGTAATGTTTTGTGTGGCTCTCACACAACACATTTTTGCATGTACTTCCCCTAATTTAAGAATTATTTGCGTGTGTGTGTGTGTATTGGAGAACTACATCACAAGCTTCTGAGAAGTATGACTAATACCCAAAAGATCATTGTTTTTCAATTGACTTATCTTTATCCAGGGCATGCAAATCTCCTAAAAATGCACATAGAACTTAATCCTCTCCCAGAGCTAACATTTCCTGCACTGTCTCAAAGTTATGGAAAAGTTTGGAGCAAATAAGAAGCCATGCCAAATAGCAAGCTGTGCTTCTGATTTGGGTGAATTATCCCAAAGTGCAGACAAATGACACTGAGGATAATACTAGGAAAACCTCAGAACATTATCTAAATTTATGGGTCAAATGTGTCTACTTAGGAGAATCTCTTTCTCCATGGTCATACTGGAGAAAGGACAGTCAAAGCTTGCAGAAACCTGAAATGATTGCCTGCAGAGGTCTTTTAAAACCAGGCAAATGCACACCATGTAGCACTTGAGCCTAGATTGTCCACATTTGCCGTGGGATGTGTGTTTGTGAATAAGTTCCTTGTTTCTTTATCTAGTTCTTCCTATTTCTCTTGCTTTCCAGAACCTTAGTTCATTACTTCCTTTTTTTAAATCACAAATTTAGCAATGGTCTTGCATGAGAAATGCAAAGCGGAGAAAGAGTTTCCAGGACATAGAAGCTAGACTTCCCCTTTCATTCCAGATGGAAAAGATAAGATACAAATAATATAACGGAGAATGTAATCCAGCTATGTATGGTGAAGAATCTCATTTGATTTTCATTTTAATTCAGACTGGTCTAAATTGTACCTCCTAAACCATAGCAAAAATTGAAATGTAATTGTATATCAATATTCATAAACTTACAAATTTTGCATTATGGAAAGCAGTTGTATATGTGCCAGGAGAGAGGGCATTACATGCCCCTTCTGGCATGTGTGCCATAGGTTCGCCACCACTGCATTAGGATGTTAATACAGTGAACCCTTGGTATTCACTGGGTTTTTTTCCCCAGAACCCCAATGAATACCAAAATCCATAGATGCTCAAGTCCTATTTTATATAACGGTATAGGAAAATGATGTCCCCTCATATAACAACAAAATCAAGTCTTGCTGTTTGGATTTTTTGAGGGGAGTGGCAAGTGGGGGGAGGGGGATGTGTGGATATTTTCAAGCCGTGCATGGTTGAATCCATGGCTGTAGTATCCATGGATACAGAAGGTCAATGAAATATAGACTGATCAGTAAACATGACGAAATGATCTTAAGTTTGGAACAAGAAAAATCTTGAAGGAAGCAAAAATTATAGATTTGCCTATCCTTATCACTGCCAGTGGCTGTACTTGCAAAGAAAACTTCCCTGGCAGAGTTGTAGCTCAAACAAATAAAGGAACAAATAATACACACAAGGAAATCCTTTATATACACATGCATATAGATGGGATCTGGTGCATGTTGTTTATTATGTCAATGATGATTAAGCAGTGTCAGCTCTAGTTCTTGGATGGGTGATCCCATGAATGAAAGGCTCTGTAGGCTTTCAGAGATAGGAACTGGCTAAACGACGTCTGAGATATTTTGCCTGAGAAATCCTTGTGAAATTCATAAAGTTACCATAAGTGAGCAGGTGACTTATTATATGCTGTTTAATAAGATCCTGAAATCTGCCACTTGAATTGGTCTGCCTCATTATATGTCAAACTATAGGAGATCTTAATTCCTACTGAAGAAAGTTGGGGAGAGGGGTTGAATAATCTGTTAGGCTTCATATAAAATTTAACTGGGGCTGGCCCAGGACTTTGCTCTCTGAAGCAAAGGATGGTATGAAACCCTTTCTGATTGCATGTAGGGAAGTCATTTAGACTTGGATATTACTTAGCAGTGTGGGACAAGTGCCATGCTCAGGTAGACACCTCAGGTAGAAAGCTAGTATAGAATCTTGCAGCAGCTTGCAGGACATAAATACCACCAATCTCAATTGGAGAAGAATGGAGACTTTTGAAGAACAGCTGCCACTGCTGTGACCCTTGGTATTTGTTGCTTGAAGTAAGTGTCTTATGCCTCATTCTGCCTTATGTTAGGACCAGCCATTTTTTTTGTGACCAGTTTAGCTTTGGCAACCACTGCAGCTTCATTAGACAGAACAGACTTTTGCTGCTTGATATTTATTTTCAGATACAGCATCAGTCCCCATGTTCTTGCTGAATGTTCTAAGCATTCTTTGTCTATTGATAGATTCTGAGACCCTAACCGGACACTACTTCTGCTTCATTTTGGTCTGTTGTGAATCATTCTGTGGTCTTCTCATCTCTGACATCATTCACCCCAATTTCCTAAAATACAAAAAAGGAACTGAGCACAGCCTTGAATCTATGTGTTAATAGCAACCCCACCATAACTGGTTTTACTATCCCACAGAAGCCTTAGATTCTGCTAAAAGAGGAGAAAAAATAGCCATCTTAGAGCTCTTTTCTCTAATAAATTAGACTTGGCTCTTTCTTTTTGGCTGCCAATATGCTTCTGGGCCCAATTCAAAGTGCAGGCTACTACCTACAAAGCCCTATATGGCTTGGGTCCTGACTGCTTTTCCTTCCTTGAAGGCTGAAGAAGTGCGACTTGCCTAAAGTCACCCAGTGGGTCTCCATGGCAGAGCAGGGATTCAAACCCTGGCCTCCTGAGTCATAGTCCAATGCCCAATGCACTACGCTTGCTCTCATATCCTTTCATAAAGTTCTAAAAAGATACCTTTTTTTTCCAGAGTCATATGATTTGAGTACTGCTGAGAAGATTGAGATCGAGACCATCAAGAAGCATAAAAAAGAGCTACTGGAGGACATCCAGGTAAGAGTAAGACCACTTTCTGTTTATAGAGAAATGCTATGTTATCACACTGCATCATTTTGACTATGTGCTGGAGTGGGGGAAAGATCATTTTATTGTTGGTAGAAGGCTTGTATTCAACCATCTCTACTTCAAGTATGTGTTACCTTCCAGAGGTAAATGGGCTTCTCCTTCTACTGGCCCTAGCTACTATAGTCAGTGGTGAGAGAAGATGGGAATTAAGGTCTGACTACCCCTGAAAAGCCACAAGACTCAGGGTCCTTGAAGGAAGACTGACCCTTTGGCTATATATGTTTTTCATTTGTAAAATAAAGAAAATACATGCCTACATCCGGTTTGGCTTATATTTTTGTCATTCATGTTTTCTAAGTACTATCCCCTTTTGCTATCACACACACATCTATTTATTTGTTTAGTTGTTTGTTTGTTTGTTTATCTATTTCTGTGACAGGATGGGTTCCTTTCAAATTGCCTGAAAAGATATCAACAATATTCTTTTTCAAGGCATGCAGTATGCAATTTGCTTCTTCCTACACATAGGCCTTCTGAATTGAATGATGGGAAAGGGTCCAATGTGAGATTAATGCTTATTTCCCTACTTCCTTCAAGCTTTCTCCTCCTTTCACTTACAGCGGCTAAAGGATGAAATTGCTGGTGTATTCGAAGAGATTGATCGTTTCCAGCAATCACAAACAAGGTGAGAAAGCCATGGATAAAGAAGGGCTTAGATCAGTTACTTTTTGGACAACAGGTCTCAAAATTCCCTAGCTAACAGAACCACTACCGACAATGGTGGTGAGGTTCTGAGAATTATAATCCCATCAAAAGCCTCTTCACCAAGTTTTGAAGAGAAATAGGAAAGCAGGGAAGTTCCACATATAGCTCCTTTCTTCCTTTGTAGCTGTGGCATAATGATACAAATTAGATCACCATGTTCCTCATGGCAGCCATATCCTCAGGGAAAAGACACCGAGAATAGATAGTTTCTGAAAACCTTATCCCATTGTTAGCACTGAAAGAAGATTCAATTGCTGGCCCAAATGGTTTAGGTGCATGAAATGGAAAGAGGTCCCATCTTGTTCAGAAAAATGTATTAGGCCAACTCTTCATGAGTGCCATCAAGGTGTCATGGAACCCAGAGATCCAGGTTCAAGTCTATATTGAAGCATATAACCTATGGCTTCAACTGAACACTATCTTGTTTCTTCCCCTTGCCAATTGATAGTCAACACTTTTAGGGCTAGGAGGTTTTGAGATATGTGTGTGAAGTTGCACACATCCATGCTGGATCTTAGCGATTCAATTTCAAGTAATGATCTCCATGTACCTGGACTTCCACTTCCAGCTTTTCATTATAGACATAAGTTATATTGTAATACAGACTTAGCATTTGAGCTGCTATCATGAAGTAAAAGGCCCCTCCTAGGAAAAAAAAACAAAGTATGCAGACTATGTTTGATTATTTTCCTCACTTTCTGATTTGGTCTGTAATAATCTGTCACAAAGAGTAGCAATTAGTACCTCACTAAGTAGTCAAGACAAGATAGGTCATCCACTTACCTTATTTAGACAGATGTTCCCGTTGGTACTGCTCTAAAAGAAAATAGCCAGAAATGTATGCTGGACCATCCGAGCTCCCTGCCAGTGCTGCAGCAGGATGGAGGTCGGCAATGTAGTCACCCCAATGTTGGGCTGAAGTATTGCTAGTCCATACCACCTTGCAGTAAATAGCCTATGTAAATGTGACCTTAGGCGCACAACAACTGATTCAAATTACAGAAAAAGATATTTCATCTAAACATTAGGAAAAATGGCCTGATGGGAAGAGCTATGACAGTGGAATGAATATACATCTGCTTTAGAATAGGGTGGAATCTTTGTTTCTGTAGGTTTTTAGAGGCTGGGTAGCCATCCACCAGGGGTGCCTTGATTGTGCATTCCTGTAAGGCAAGAAGATGAACTAGGTGATCCTTGTGATCTCTTCCAACTCTAGAATTCTATGATCTACCAAACAGGTTCAGTTTCAAGACTTCCTCCTTTAAAGATTTACCTAAAATCTAGAGGCAACTAAGCCCATTATTATGGGAGCCACCAACTCATTCTGCTTACAACTACAAGGTACTTGCCTATGTTGAGTTTCTTTGGGGAAGCAGTGATAAGAGTATATAAAAATTACATTTTACAATTAATGCAACACGTCATTGAAGTTATTCTGTTGTTGAAATGCCAAGCTTCACACATTTACAAATAAAAAGGTAATTAAGTTTAACAACAACAACAGAACACTAATTGTGATAGAAAGAACAAGCAGATGCAGCTTTCCATAGTTAAAACGAGGAACGTTTGAGACATCTTCCAGGAGCACCCAGGAAAGAAAGATGGACTATCATCTGTATTCAGGTCTCTTGTTTATATTTTCAGCAAAATGATCCAGAGGGACAAAGATCTATGCATTGGAAGGAAGAAATTTAACATGGATCCTACTAAGGTAAGTTTTCTGTGCATTTTGTATTCTATGCGTGGGAATGTGTTATTATATTTTAAGATGCTAACTTCATCTTTAATTGAAAAAGAATCTGTTCTGACATTTAAGACATTTAAGACATGGTCTCGCCCACTCTGTTACAAGTAGGGATACATAGGCTGTCGTAAGAGATATTGTTGTAGCACTTAAATCCCATTTAGTTGCTGTAGGATATTTTGTTGTCATTGATATTTGCACCCCCCCCCCCAAAGTGTGAAAAAAGAAACTCATTCCCATTGCAAATAAATTATTAGAGAAACCCTCTCCTTCTTGTGGTAATTAGTTTTTCTCATTCCCAAATGAATTTGGTCAAATAGTCCCCAGCAATTTCTTTGCCCTCAACCATGGTGAAGAATTTCAGAAAGGCCATTCATGCACAGCTCACTAATGAAATATAAGCAAAACCGAGGCAGATTGAATATAGCCTGATCCATTCATTACTAATCAACAGAGCTCTACAAGGACCTCCTTGTTTAGTTTGGAAACTAGTGTGACACTTCAGATAGAATCCCGATTTAATTTGCACAGGCACCGATTTATTTAGAACAACTTTGAATCCTGAAACAAATCTGATATTTCAAAATGCCGTTCTTGTTTTCTTGCATTGATGTGCAATGAAGTGAAATAGCTTAACTTCTCAGACTTTTCTTCATAAATATATGGAATTTGTAGACATGGTAGCCTCTTTAGAATATATGCGCTGTTAGTGCTGCTGCTGCTGCTTTTTTCATGTCAGTAGCAACTTGATAAACTGCAAGTCGCTTCTGGTGTGAGAGAATTGGTTGTCTGCAAGGATATGGCCTAGGGAATACTTGATTTTTTTTATGTTTTACCATCCTTGTGGGAGGCTTCTCTCATGTCCCTGCATGGGGAGCTGGAGCTGAGAGAGGGAGCTCATCCACACTCTCCCCAAATTTGTATCTCAGTCCTGCTGGCACAAGGGTTGAACCCATTGTGCTACCAGGGGCTGCTGCTGTAATTTGTTGTCAAGTTGACGTCAACTTATGGTGACTCTATCAACAAAAAACCTCAATGAGCCCTGGTCATCCCAAGCCCTGCTCAGATCTTTCAAATTCAAAGCCATGATGACTTCCTTGATTGTGTTGATCCACCTGTGATGGGGTCATCCTTTTTCCTACTTTTCCTTTTTTCCTTCAAAGAAATCTTGCCAAACACTTCTTTTCTAGAGAGTATTCTCATTGTATGTTTACAGTATGACAACATCAGTTTAGTCATCTTGGCTTCTAGGGAGAGTTCAGCTTTGATTTGCTCTAGGGCTCATTTATTTGTCTTTTTGGCAATCTATGGTATCCACAGAACTCTCTTCCAGCACTGAACTAATTTTCTTCCTATCAGTATTCTTCACTGTCCACTTGTCAGTAAAAGAAAGATATTGGAAATATTGTATTATGGATAAACTTTGTCAACTGGGAGAATCATAGAATCATAGACAGGTAGCAAGGGTTCTAGTAAGTTTTTAGCATTTAAAAGCCAAACCCTAAAGGCATCCTATCTTGTCCTGAAAGCTAAGAAGGGTCAGCCCTGATTAGTACTTGAAAGGAAGCTCAACAATAAATACAGAAGCTGTAGGAATTTAGGCAATATATCGAGGTAATGGGACTCCATGCAATAATGCTGGTCACGTGACCTTGAAAGTGTCTATGGAAAAAGTTGGCTCTTTGGCTTAGAAATGGAATATGAGCAGCCCCCCCCCCCCCCCAAGACGGGCATGGCTAGACTTAATGTCAAGGGGAAACCTTTACCTTTAAGCAATATTTCAGAGGAAGGAACTGGCAAAAACACCTGTGAGGATGCCTTGTCTAAGAAAACCTTCTGAAATTAATTGAGTTGCCATAGGCTGACGTGCAATTTGAAGATGCACAAATACACACAGCAAGTAGCTCCAGTGATTTTTTTTGCTAGCTACATTCAAAATATATAAAACAAGCTCTCTCAGTTGAGTGCTCAGTCCTGAACTGCTCATTGCAACCTAATATCTGTTAGGTTGCAACCTAATATCAGTGTTGTGCTAACTGCTAACACACACACAGAGGTAGCGGATATAGATATACATATGAAAAAATGTAATTAGAAGTTCTTAAATGTAAGACATCCTTTCCAGGGGCGAGGGCACACTTTCCCAGTGCTGGAAGCATAATACTAGAATCCATGAGAGCTATTCCAAGATTGAGCGCTCAAGTACAGCTGCACTGAGGAGCAGATCTCAAGAAAATAAGTAGTGGTCAAAAGTCAAGTATGGCAATGATAGCCTGGTGGGTGTAGGATGGGAAGCCAGCCAGATAGGTAGGCAGGCTAAGATCTGCTGCTACCAGCTAAATATAGAAAAAGAGCAGAAACGTGTAGCAGAGAACAGTTCAATGACCTCAAGCCGTCTTCCTCTTTCCCCATCTGTGATGATTGGAAAGTGTTGGTTAAATTTTTGCTCTACACTGGAGGATACAGCTGTCAATGAGAAGAGTATAGTTCCTCTTCTCCCTTGCATCAGTGGAACAGGCTATTTTTATTAGTTGGAGAAACACTGCCTGTTCAATTTTTATCACTCATTGATACAGGAATGGGCAATTGTCAGGATTAGATGACACATTGTCCCAAGGTTTTGGGACCCCAGAAGACTGCTGTACATTGTCATGCTTTGATACCAGTCTTTCAGTATAGGCACTAGGCCTGGGCGGTTTCGTTCGTTAATTTTGTAATTCGTTAAATATTCGTTATTTTTAGCATTTACGAAACGATTACAAAACACATTTTCAAACCCGGAAGGGTTTAAAAATAACGAACCGGCAACCCCCATAGTTTTAACGAGCTTCCGCCCGTTTCGTAAATGGGATGGAGGCTGCTGGTGCCCTGGGAGCCAATCCGGCGCTCCCAAGCACCCAAGCAGTGCACCGTGGCTGTTTCTGATTGGCCGGCGAGCCCTTTAAAAGCGGCTCCGCGCGGCCGTACAGCTCATTGCTGCAGAGGGCGAGGGAGAAGAGAAGAGGTCCGGGAGGGTTTGCATTGGGTTGGCTTGCAACTGCTTGGATTGGATTCATTCCTTGCTCATTCCTTGCTTGGATTCATTCCTTGCTGCTTAGTGCTTATTATTCCTTGCTTGGATTCATTCCTTCCTTCGGTTTTTGTGAATTTGTTTGTTAATTTTCCATTTTTAAATATTTTTTTATAAAAATACCTGTCTTTTATTCTTAAAAAAATACAAAAAATATTCTAAAAAAAGAAAAGACTCTTCTGTTGCTGTGTGCTCTCATTTGCCCTGTCTCGTGGCTGTGTTTGGTCCACATCAGGGCCAGTTTTGGTTAATTTTCCATTTTTGAATATTTTCTAAAAATACCTGTCTTTTATTCTTAAAAAAACCAAAAATATTCCAAAAAAAGAAAAGACTTTTCTGTTGCTGTGTGCTCTCATTTGCCCTGTCTCGTGGCTGTGTTTGGTCCACATCAGGGCCAGTTTTTGGTTAAGTTTCCATTTTTGAATATTTTCTAAAAATACCTGTCTTTTATTCTTAAAAAATACAAAAAATATTCTTAAAAAAAAGACTCTTCTGTTGGTGTGTGCTCTCGTTTGCCCTGTCTCGTGGCTGTGTTTGGTCCACATCAGGGCCAGTTTTTGGTTAATTTTCCATTTTTGAATATTTTTTAAAAATACCTGTCTTTTATTCTTTAAAAAAACAAAAAATATTCTAAAAAAAAAAAGACTCTTCTGTTGCTGTGTGCTCTCGTTTGCCCTGTCTCGTGGCTGTGTTTGGTCCACATCAGGGCCAGTTTTTGGTTAAGTTTCCATTTTTGAATATTTTCTAAAAATACCTGTCTTTTATTCTTAAAAAAAACCAAAAATATTCTTTAAAAAAAAGACTCTTCTGTTGGTGTGTGCTCTCGTTTGCCCTGTCTCGTGGCTGTGTTTGGTCCACATCAGGGCCAGTTTTTGGTTAAGTTTCCATTTTTGAATATTTTCTAAAAATACCTGTCTTTTATTCTAAAAAAAACAAAAATATTCCAAAAAAAGAAAAGACTCTTCTGTTGGTGTGTGCTCTCATTTGCCCTGTCTCGTGGCTGTGTTTGGTCCACATCAGGGCCAGTTTTTGGTTAAGTTTCCATTTCTGAATATTTTTTAAAAATACCTGTCTTTTATTCTTAAAAAATACAAAAAATATTCCAAAAAAAGAAAAGACTCTTCTGTTGGTGTGTGCTCTCATTTGCCCTGTCTCTCCTGCCTGTGTTAGCTCTACATCAGGGCCAGTTTGGTTAATTTTCCATTTCTGAATATTTTCTAAAAATACCTGTCTTTTATTCTTAAAAAAATACAAAAAATATTCTAAAAAAATAAAAGAGTCTTCGGTGGCTGTGTGTGCGTTTGTCATTTGTGTAGTTCCAACCAGTGCGCTCCTTTTGCCAACACAAAGTGCTACATACACTGCTCGCTCATCATTTGTGTAGTTCCAACCAGTGCGCTCCTTTTGCCAACAGAAAGTGCTATAATACAGTGCTCGCTCATTTGTGTAGTTCCAACCAGTGCGCTCCTTTTGCCAACAGAAATATTTAATAACGAAGTTATTAATAACGAAGTTTTTAATAACGAAGTTTCGGAAGTCACTTTGCGCATGCGCAAAGCGTCCGCCGTTTTAACGAATCGATTCGTTATAACCTTAACGAATCGACCCCGCACCAATAACGAAGCTTCGGAAGTGATTTTGCGCATGCGCGGGGGGGTCCGCCATCTTAACGAAACGTTTCGTAAATATTTACGAAATTTCGTAAATACCGAACTTTTTTTAGGGAAAATTTTGTAATTATTTTAAATATCGAAACAAAAAAACACCCCAATTACAAATCGATTTTAGAAACAAATTTTTGCGTTGTTACCCAGGCCTAATAGGCACATATAAACCTTCCTTCAACTAAGAAATGGGTGAAAGAAGACCATTAACTTCCTAGTTTGAAGAAGGACTGGGGGAAGGCCAATATGAGGAGACTCATATTGAGCATGTAGTGTAATAATAAATAGTATCCCCTTGCCCTCAGCAGCCTGGCAGACCTTTTCAAGACAAAATGATTGATCTGAAAACCTTCCCTTCCAATTTTGGAGAGTATGAGGATTCTTGAGCCCCTTCAGAAATATCTTTGGGTTTCCCTGTGAGGTGCTTACCCTTCCTTGCTGTCAGTGTCAACAACAACAAGAAGAAGAGGTGGGTGAAAAGGCAAAGGGAAGTCTGCTATTTCACTCTTCTCCTCCCCCTCCTTGCTTTGCTTGGCAGAACCTTCATTAATAAAAAAGCACAAACAACCACATTAAGTTAAGCTCGAACATAGAATGTATCCTGAACAGAAGAGAATTGAACTTGTGTCTAGTGTACCCTTATCTCCCTTTACTTGACGTTATAATTACAACCACACTATACCAACTGTACCATGTACTTCCTGTTAAAAAGCTTCTTTCTGACTCTGAACTTAATTGCTCCCTCAGTCCCTCTTGCTATCTACATTACAATCAAAAGCTAAAACCCCATGATTAAAAAGTAGTTAAACTTCAGTGATGCAGCATCTACCACAGGAAAGGGCATGCTTTACAATGATAGCATATAGCTCTCAGAACTTAGAAAATGTACCTTTTGGATCATGAAATCCACAATGACTGTGCTGGTTGCAGGATTCTGAGAAAGGTAAACTCTGTAATTTCCTGTGGTGCTTATGTCACTGCTATGGTGTATGCCTGCCACTGACTGCACTCTCTGTAAACATTTTATGGGCAATGTATTAATAATAATACTCAATATTTTTTTTGCTGAGTGGAAAATTTGTGGACAAGTGGCAAAACACGGCCTGCTCAAAAAGGAATGCAAATGGTCAATCTTTAGAAGTATTCCACTGTTCATATTCTGTTGGCTCTTAGCTAACTTGAGCAATCACAATAATAATAATAATAATCATCATCATCATCATCATCATCATCATCATCTTAATTTATACCCTGCCTCCAACTCTCCAAAGGGGACTCGGGCTTGCTAACACGAGGCCGGTCCCAACAGTTTATTTATTTATTTATTTCCAGCATTTCTACCCCGCCCCTTTTCAACCCCTGAAGGGGGTCTCAGGGCGGCTTGCACGGCAACAATTCAATGCCACAACATACAAACAATACAAACAACTATAAAACAACTATAACAACAATTTAAAACAATAAATAAGACATTGAGTTAAAAACTATTTAAGCATTATTGTCAAACCATATGGCCATTTCCAGTCTGATTCATCATCCAAAGTGCTGTCATGCCTGCTGTATGAAACTGCTGTCCGAAACAGTTACAACAAAGCAAAACAAATACAACATACAATCATAAAATAATACATAAAATAAAATAAAATACAATAAAATATATTAAAAGACAGTAATACAAAATAAACACAGGGTACAACAAAATAACAAAGACATTAAGCCGAGTGGGCAGGGCCAAATACAATGGATAAGATTTTAAAACCCTGGTGGGAGGTTTGGATGGGATGACCAGTGGGGTTTAATTTCAACTGAAGGGTGCAATAAAGTGCATCGAAAAGCATTTTGTACAGATGTTTGTGCCATCACCACCAGTTTTCTTTTGTATAATTCACATCTGATTTCCTTCTGATCCACCCTCAACCATGTCCACTCTGCATACACATTTGAATTTTTAAGACTATCTTCTTGTGTTTGATGTATTGCATGTGTTGTAACTGGTGGATATCCAAGTTAGAGCAGTAGTAGTGAGCTTTAAATGACCACAGTGTGTGAGCATGGGCAAACTGCCTGTTACTCTTCCCCTCTCCATGAAAGCAGTATCCTACCTCAGGATTTCTCAAGATGCGACTGCTTTTCCCAAACAGGGCATCCAATATCTGACTGAACACAAGGTGTTGTCTTCAAATATTGAAGAAATTGCCAAATTCCTTTACAAAGGAGAAGGACTCAATAAGACAGCCATTGGAGATTATCTGGGACAGAGGTAAGTAGATTGTATTATCTCATTCAACAAATCTCTGCTTCTGGTTTTCAAGCTATGCAAAACTTGGTTGGGGATGGGGGAGTAATTCATTTAATTTGAACCTTAATGGTAGGAAAATATGAAAATTATTTGAAAAGGAAGAAAACGATATTCTGAGTGTTGATAATCCTTGTCAAGAAGACTCCTTGACTGATAAGAATCTTTGTAGTTTGGAAGTTATTCTGTGCAAAATTTGTATGTGGTTGTTTTCTGTAGAAAAGAGTGTTTATCTTTTATAAATCCTGTGCAAAAAATAAAAAATAATCTATGCCAAACTCTTATTTTCTACACAGAAAATGTGATACATTTCCTCCACAAAAGCAACATTTCCTGTGCAGATATTTGCACAAAACCAAACTAATCACCTGTGAATTTTGCACAAAATAAGTAACAGAATCATAGTTGAAAGAGACCACGTGGACTATCCAGTCCAACTCCTGCCAAGAAGCAGGGAAATCACATTCAAAGCATCACCAACAGATGGCCATCCAGTCTCTGTTTAAAAGCGTCCAAAGAAGGAGCCTCTACCATACTTCGGGGCAGAATTGTGGAAAGTTCTGAATTGTGAATTGATGGAACAAACTGGATGGTTTTTGAATGAAAAGGGATCTTACAGATCTTGTAGATCTTTTGCATATTTAATTGTAGCTAACATGATGATGGTGTGAATGTGTTTTTAAATTTTTCTTGAAATGAAATAAAACTGCTAAATTTTATTTTTGCTTCATTTGAGGAAAAAATAGGGAAGCAATAGTTCTCCATTTAACAGTAAACAGTATACTTTTGCACTTTCAACTAATACACAAATCAGAATTCAAAACCTGCTCTTTTCCATGTTTTATCAAAGTTCTCCAAGATACATAGATATGAATATAATGAGAGGGTTGCACAGTAATGCATATGTTAATGAAAATAATGTTAAAAGGTATTATGTTGTAAAATTGAATATGATACAAATGTTTATGTGTTAGGAAAACATGTGCCAAAATCCATACATAATTCCATTATTGTGCTTTGAAATCCTGTAATCCACAATTAACCAAACTGGAAAAAGTATCTTAGTTTAAAACGTGGCATATTTAAGATGAGAAAAATGAGAAATGGAAGGAAACCAAAGCTGACAAATTTCTCCATTCTTAGTTTAGGATAAGTGTAAAGATGGTTTTGATTTTTCACCATCTGACTTTGTCATTTTACCTACCAGGGATCCAGTGAATCTACAAGTTCTGCAGGCCTTTGTGGAATGTCATCAATTTGCCAATCTTAATCTTGTGCAAGCACTAAGGTACCGTAAGTAGGTCCCATTACTTGATGCTCAATCCCTGTTCCCCCCTCCCCCCAAAAAATTCCTCTGGTCTATCCTTCACCCCTTAAAAAGGATATTTTTTTTTTAAAAAAAGGTTGTTTTGTTTTGTTTTTTACATTTCCAGGGAGTACTAGGAGGCTCAAAATGTGGAGGCAACACCACCTCATGGTCATTTAGAGGACATTTTGAAGGAAAATCAAATTTGACCCCTGAGGGGGCACGAGAATCCACAAAAGGTCCTGGGCCTGCATGCAGCCTAAATGTCACATTTACTCATCCCAATGCAGAGTTTCTTCAAGAAAGGGAGGGGGTTGGTAATCAAGCCTTTGGGCTGCATGGACCCAGTGGCATTGTTTCCCCCTAAACACATAAAAATCCTTAACCCACCCAAATTAAATCTAGCAGAAATCAGCACAAGAATAGAGGAAAAAAACATGGCATAGTTTCTGGTTTGCTCACAACACATTGGAATTGATCAGCAAACAATAGCCTAGCTGAATGTGATTTTCCTGCTTCTTGGCAGGGGATAGGACTGGATAGGCCTTGATGTCTCTTCCAAATAAATTATTTTATGGTTCTATGTTCAGATAGCATTCTTCTTTGAATCCTTTGTTGTACGGTACTTCAATAAATCTATATTGTCACAGAGTGCAGTCACTCATCATGACTGCCTCAGTAGCCACATCCTCAAGGATATTCAAAAATACAAGTAACTGTATTGTCTCATATCAACAAATTGGTTATGGCTGTTTTTATCTCCACTAGAGGAAGATCTTTTTTTAATGGATTTGTCTTTATACACACATTGAAGAACATAGCAGTCCAAAAGCCTTCAATTACAATTGGGATGTGTACTATGAGATTATTAGTAAGAACACGGAAACCTGATAATCAAAAACTTCAACTTGTAAGCCCCGACTCCACTTTTCCTTGATAGACATTAAGCATGTTTCATTAACCCATACAAATAGATGATCCCATACATATATAATTTGTGGTTTATACATATAGTGGAAAGTTGTGGCCACATGTGTTTTCTATAGGGGCATATACATAAGGTGGCATCTGAATTAGGTATGGATCATGAGGCTGGAAGAAAAGGATTTCATGATCCTGTTCCTACAGGAGTCCCTTCTCTCTCCCCCCCCCCCCCCCTTCAATGGAATCATGAGTTTCTGAATGTTGCTTTATAGTCAGGAAAGCAAGAAGTCATGTCTCTTGGTGTCTTCTGCTCCACTTATGGTCAGTGCCTGTGCCTAACTTGATGGATCCCTTTACATTCCTAGTCCACTCCATTTAAACTGATCCCATCTATAGGCAAATGAAGAGGCATCTGCCAGAAGAAGAGGTAAATTGGAGAAGTCTATTTTCCTCAGACCACTTGTGGTGTGGGGAGAATGTAGGAGGAGGAGTCTCCGAAAAATGGATAAAGCCACCTTGTATAACTGGATCTCTTCTGTTCACATCCCACTGTGAACAACATTTGTACAGCCTCCCTTGTGGCACTCCGCACATGGGGATCAATCATTTTTTACAAAATAGCTACAGGTAGGATCCTATTTATGTGTAAACTAACCTCACAATTTCCACTTCTTATTATGAAGATATTCTATTCTGTTTCTCAAGAATTGAAAGATTCATGCCACTTATTAGTCACCAGCTGTGTGTCTCAAAGAATAAATATTTCCAAGAACAGTACTTTCCCCTTCCTCCTACTTGTGGAGGCTCTCCCATACAAGGGGAAAAAAAACTAATCCCATGGGGATTAGAAGAATCTGATGATGTGGTTTGGTTTCATTTCATAGACAGTTCCTTTGGAGTTTCCGGTTGCCTGGAGAAGCACAGAAGATTGACCGTATGATGGAGGCCTTTGCCAGCTGGTATTGCCAATGCAACCCTGGAGTTTTCCAGTCAACAGGTACCTGCTAGAGAAGATGAAGGGAAATGTTTATTTAGGGCACTGTGCATTGTATTTTTGTTGTTATGAATATACACATTTTGGTGTGCACTTTTTCCTCATCCAGATTGAGTATCTTTTGTTTAAAATGCTTGGGACAAGGATTATTTTTGATTTTTTGTTCATAATTCAAAATATATGCAAATACATAGTGATCTAAACCTAACTAATAATTCATTGATTCATAATCTCTTTATACACATGGTCTGAAAGTAACGCTATGCACAATATTTAAAAATAATTTTGTAGATGAAAGAAAGTTTGTATACATTGAACCACCAGTAAGCAAAGAAATGGCAATTGGACTATTTTGTATTTTTGAAATTTCAGTTTTCTGTATACAGTATACAGAATTCGCATTATTCAGTTTTGACGAGAGAACTGCATAAAAACAAAACAAAACAGTAGAGTGTGAATATTGAAGGTGTGTTCCATCTCAGATATTGATTTCAAGAGGATGAATTTTGGGCTGCCGTTAGAGTCCCAACATCTTATTTCAAATGTCTGTCATAGACCAGGAATGGCAGTGCAGAGTGGTGAATCCACTGCTGTTCCTCTTCCAGTTGCTCCAAATTGAATAGAAGCTCTTCTGTTGCCAACCTAGAATTCAACATTACTCGAGCTCCCATTCACTTGGGTTGCCCTTGCCCTAGGCCTTTTTCTTCCTGCAGATATTGTTGAAAGTTGGAAAGAGCTACCACCTTGATCTATAAGTCCCGAGGGATCTAGTAGGCCTCACTGTTAGAATTTTGGCAAGTTCTTCTTTAACATTGGAATCACCCTGACTAGCAGTTCTTCCTTGAAATCAGGCACTTATGTATTTCCTTCTCTTCTATCTGACAGACACCTGCTATATCCTTTCTTTCTCCATTATAATGTTGAATACCAGTCTACATAATCCCAACGTCAAAGAGAAGCCCCCCTTTGAGAGGTTTATGTCTATGAACAGAGGCATCAACAATGGAGAGGACCTTCATGAAGATCTCCTGAAGGTAGGAAGGTTTCTTGCTTATTCTTTTAAACTTTTCTTTTGAACTAAGAAAGGAGGCCTCCACAAGAACTTATGAATCTCCATTTGTTTATTCATGGTATGTAATGCTGACCGTGTTACACAAAGGCCTTGGAACAATTGCCTCTGCAAGTGAGCTTCTGAAAAGAAAGAAATCAAACTATTGCATTCTATAAGAATGCAAAAACAACCTTCCTGCATGAGTTCAAAGGCCTTTCTGGTCCTTTGTGCTGTTCTCACAGTAGCTAATCCAATAGACAAGTAAAGCCAACAAGCAAGACGTGAGCACAATAGCACCCTCATTATTTTCTCCAACAACGATAGCAGCATTCGACCTTTCAAACTGGAAGAAATATATAAGTTGCACAAGAAACCAGAACTTGGAAGTAATGCTTGATGAATGTCAGCATCACTGCAGTTCATCACATTTTTGGATTATAATGGCAGTCACAGCCCTTTTAAAAATAATGTACTAACTGGTTTGTTTTGACTTATTTTGGGTAATAGTAATGTTCACTCATTCCTTTTTTACTTTTTTAATATTTGAGAGGGATTTTGAGAGGATTATTTCTCCCTATTTCATACTAAAAGGAAATTTGGGGGAATTTCCTAGTAATTTTTAGTCTAAATCCTGCATTTGTTTTAAGAAGGAAAAAGGAACAAGAGTGCAACATGAAATATAACAATTTAGTTTTTAAAATTGTAAGGGTAATAATAAAATATTGGAGGGGGGAACGGTTGTGATAAGTCACATAGCAGATTACTTTTACACTACAACTGCCCAATTATCAATCTCCAAACTGTTCAACTAATAGCCAAATGCCACCAATCAATAAGTGTATATGCTTCCGAAAGCATAGAGACCTCTCCATGTGACTGGGTTCCCTACTCAATCAAATATGTATTTCTATGGTGAGAGCATGATGACTTATAGATACTAGGCCTGGGTAACAACGCAAAAATTTGTTTCTAAAATCGATTTGTAATTGGGGTGTTTTTTTGTTTCGATATTTAAAATAATTACAAAATTTTCCCCTAAAAAAAGTTCGGTATTTACGAAATTTCGTAAATATTTACGAAACGTTTCGTTAAGATGGCGGACCCCCCGCGCATGCGCAAAATCACTTCCGAAGCTTCGTTATTGGTGCGGGGTCGATTCGTTAAGGTTATAACGAATCGATTCGTTAAAACGGCGGACGCTTTGCGCATGCGCAAAAGCGACTTCCGAAACTTCGTTATTAAAAACTTCGTTATTAATAACTTCGTTATTAAATATTTTGGGTTGGCAAAAGGAGCGCACTGGTTGGAACTACACAAATGAGCGAGCACTGTATTATAGCACTTTGTGTTGGCAAAAGGAGCGCACTGGTTGGAACTACACAAAGACAAAGAGAAGACAGAGGGGAGCAGAAGACACTGCCATCTTGTCTTCTGCCTATATCATCACTTCAGAGGCCCCTCCCCCTTCTGGCACCAATGACTGCTCTGGCCAGAGGGAAGACAGAGGGGAGCAGAAGACACTGCCATCTTGTCTTTACTAATAATATAATATAGTATATTGTATATACGTATAATATTTATAATATTATAATGTAATACAATATAATACTAGTAATAATAATTCAATATTATAATTATAATTATATATTTAATTACATGTAATATTACTAATAATATTACAATATAATGGTATAGTGCAATATAGTAATATATACTGATATTGTACTATGCTAATAATATAATATATTGTATGAAAATATATATTGTAAGCCGCTCTGAGTCCCCTTCGGGGTGAGAAGGGCGGCATATAAGCGCCGTAAATAAATAAATAAATAAATAAATGAGCGAGCACTGTATTATAGCACTTTCTGTTGGCAAAAGGAGCGCACTGGTTGGAACTACACAAATGATGAGCGAGCAGTATATGTAGCACTTTGTGTTGGCAAAAGGAGCGCACTGGTTGGAACTACACAAATGACAAACGCACACACAGCCACCGAAGACTCTTTTATTTTTTTAGAATATTTTTTGTATTTTTTTAAGAATAAAAGACAGGTATTTTTAGAAAATATTCAAAAATGGAAACTTAACCAAAAACTGGCCCTGATGTGGACCAAACACAGCCACGAGACAGGGCAAATGAGAGCACACACCAACAGAAGAGTCTTTTCTTTTTTGGAATATTTTTGGTTTTTTTTAAGAATAAAAGACAGGTATTTTTAGAAAATATTCAAAAATGGAAACTTAACCAAAAACTGGCCCTGATGTGGACCAAACACAGCCACGAGACAGGGCAAATGAGAGCACACAGCAACAGAAGAGTCTTTTCTTTTTTGGAATATTTTTTGTATTTTTTAAGAATAAAAGACAGGTATTTTTAGAAAATATTCAAAAATGGAAAATTAACCAAAAACTGGCCCTGATGTGGACCAAACACAGCCACGAGACAGGGCAAAAGAGCACACAGCAACAGAAGAGTCTTTTCTTTTTTTGGAATATTTTTGGTTTTTTTTTAAGAATAAAAGACAGGGTATTTTTAGAAAATATTCAAAAATGGAAACTTAACCAAAAACTGGCCCTGATGTGGACCAAACACAGCCACGAGACAGGGCAAACGAGAGCACACACCAACAGAAGAGTCTTTTTTTAAAGAATATTTTTGGTTTTTTTTAAGAATAAAAGACAGGTATTTTTAGAAAATATTCAAAAATGGAAACTTAACCAAAAACTGGCCCTGATGTGGACCAAACACAGCCACGAGACAGGGCAAATGAGAGCACACACCAACAGAAGAGTCTTTTCTTTTTTTGGAATATTTTTGTTTTTTTTTAAGAATAAAAGACAGATTTTTAAAAAATGGAAAATTTCAAAAATGGAAAATTAACCAAAAACTGGCCCTGATGTGGACCAAACACAGCCACGAGACAGGGCAAATGAGAGCACACACAACAGAAGAGTCTTTTCTTTTTTAGAATATTTTTTGTATTTTTTAAGAATAAAAGACAGGTATTTTTAGAAAATATTCAAAAATGGAAAATTAACCAAAAACTGGCCCTGATGTGGACCAAACACAGCCACGAGACAGGGCAAACGAGAGCACACAGCAACAGAAGAGTCTTTTCTTTTTTTGGAATATTTTTGGTTTTTTTTAAGAATAAAAGACAGGTATTTTTAGAAAATATTCAAAAATGGAAAATTAACCAAAAACTGGCCCTGATGTGGACCAAACACAGCCACGAGACAGGGCAAACGAGAGCACACAGCAACAGAAGAGTCTTTTCTTTTTTTAGAATATTTTTTGGTTTTTTTTAAGAATAAAAGACAGGTATTTTTAAAAAATATTCAAAAATGGAAAATTAACCAAAAACTGGCCCTGATGTGGACCAAACACAGCCACGAGACAGGGCAAATGAGAGCACACACCAACAGAAGAGTCTTTTCTTTTTTAGAATATTTTTTTTTTTTTTAAGAATAAAAGGCAGGTATTTTTAGAAAATATTCAAAAATGGAAAATTAACCAAAAACTGGCCCTGATGTGGACCAAACACAGCCACGAGACAGGGCAAATGAGAGCACACACCAACAGAAGAGTCTTTTCTTTTTTAGAATATTTTTTGTATTTTTTTAAGAATAAAAGACAGGTATTTTTAGAAAATATTAAAAAATATTTAAAAATGGAAAATTAACAAACAAATTCACAAAAACCGAAGGAAGGAATGAATCAAAGCAAGGAATAATAAGCACTAAGCAGCAAGGAATGAATCCAAGCAAGGAATGAGCAAGGAATGAATCCAATCCAAGCAGTTGCAAGCCAACCCAATGCAAACCCTCCCGGACCTCTTCTCTTCTCCCTCGCCCTCTGCAGCAATGAGCTGTACGGCCGCGCGGAGCCGCTTTTAAAGGGCTCACCGGCCAATCAGAAACAGCCACGGTGCACTGCTTGGGTGCTTGGGAGCGCCGGATTGGCTCCCAGGGCACCAGCAGCCTCCATCCCATTTACGAAACGGGCGGAAGCTCGTTAAAACTATGGGGGTTGCCGGTTCGTTATTTTTAAACCCTTCCGGGTTTGAAAATGTGTTTTGTAATCGTTTCGTAAATGCTAAAAATAACGAATATTTAACGAATTACAAAATTAACGAACGAAACCGCCCAGGCCTAATAGATACTATTATGTCGCTCTATCATATAGTCAATGAACACATGAGAGCATTTGAAAAAATCTTGCTTTCATAGACTCCAAAATAGAGATTCTGTCATAGCATCATTGAGTTGACATCCATCCAGTCCAATCCCCTGCCATGCAGGAACACACAATCAAAAGACTCCCAACAGATGGCCATCCAGCCTTTTTTTTTTAAAAAAAAAACCTCCAAAGAAGGAGACTCTGATGCAGCATATCCCACTGTTGGACACTCTTACAATCAGGAAGTTCATCCATCTAAAAATTCATCCTAATGTTTAGATGGGATCTCTTTTCCTGCATTTTGAATCCATGCCCTAGTGTCTAGAGCAGCAGGAAAAAAGCTTGCCCCATCTACAATATGACATTCTTTCAAATATTTAAAAATGACTATCATGTGATCTCTTAACTTTCTTTTCTCTAGGCTAAATTAACCCAGTTTCCTAAGCCACTCCTCATAAGGCTTGGCTTTTAGACCTTTTACCATTCTGCTTGTCCTCCTCCGGACACATTCCAGCATTTTGATATCCTTCTTGAATTATGGTGCTCTAAAATGAGCATTGCACAAACACAGTACCACTTATTAAAAACTCTGTGACAGGGTGATTTCGATATCACAACTAAATAAGGGCACTGCCTATATGTGAACACTTTTGGAGACTATGAATGTACAGCAAACGAGTAATACTTATTTATAGTCAATACCCAATTGATTTTTGGGTAATTTCCCCTCTTCACCTTCATTGTGCTTCATAGAATACTCTAGTCCATTTTTCCTTCAGCACTCTAAATGTTAGCTTTAACAATTCAAGTTTTCACTGAGACTAATACCAATGGGAGTTTCCTGAGAGAACAGTGATATGAGGTTATTTTTCTTGTTGCATATGATTGCTTTCATATTATTATTTTTTTATTTACCATATTTATACCTCGCCCTTCTCACCCCGAAGAGGACTCAGAGCGACATTACACATAGGCAACAATTAAATGCCATAGAAACAAAACACAATTAAAATAAACATTTACATTAAAACCAAAGAATTAAAACATCTAAACATTACACCAATTATTAAAACCACACAGTTCAAGATCGTAATCCGGAACCATTCCAGTTGTCATTGCACATATTCCCCATCCATTTATTGCAAACTGAAATGTTTGCAGAGCGCATTGGTTTAGAAATTAAGTAAAATTATACAATATTAAGTAATTGTGTATTAATATGGGGCTTCCAAGATAAGTGTTTCTCAACCTGGGGGTCAGGACCCCGGGGGGGGGGGTGTCACAAGGGAATGTCAGAGGGGTCACCAAAGACCATCAGAAAACACAGTATTTTCTGTTGGTCACAGGGGTTGCCAAATGTCAAGGTCTATTTTTCCCAAAATTCACCAGTGTTCACATTTGGGCATATTGAGTATTCATGCCAAGTTTGGTCCAGAATCTCATTGTATGAGTCCACAGTGCTCTCTGGATGTAGATGAACTACAACTCCAAAACTTTAGGTCAATGCCCACCAAACTCTTCCAGTAATTTCTGTTGGTCATGGGAGTTCGGTGTGCCAAGTTTGGTTCAATTCCATCGTTGGTGGAATTTTGAATGCTCTTTGATTGTAAGTTAACTATAAATCCCAGCAACTACAACTCCCAAATGATAAAATCAACCCCCCCCCCCAACCCCAGCAGTATTCAAATTTGGACATATTGGGTATTTGTGCCAAATTTGGTCCAGTGAATGAAAAAACATCTTGCATATCAGATATTTACATTATGATTCATAACAGTAGCAAAAGTACAGTTGTGAACTAGCAACAAAAATAATTTTATGGTTGGGGGTCTCTACAACATGTGGAAGTGTATTAAGGGGTTGTGGCATTAGGAAGGTTGAGTACCACTGTCCTAGACAGACAGATGTGTTGCATAAGCTAATGCAATGTGTTGGCTTGAGCATTAGATGATGATTCTGGAGACCAGGGTTTGTGCCCCTGCTCTGCCCTGAGACCCACTCCATGACCTTGGACAAGTCACATTTTCTCAGCCTTGGAAAAATGTAAAGACAATTCCCTCTGAATCTTGCTGCGATAGGTTCACATTAGGATCACCATAAGTAAAAAATGATTTGAAAGCACACAACACTCCTATGATTATCTACATGTACTGTATACCTTCCAAAGATATATTAGTTTCTAGCATAAAAAATGTTGGGATATCATTTGAATCACATAAATCATAAACATTGTCTGAAGGAATTATAAAAATTATAAAAATCCTTTCAGTGATCAAAACTTATCCTAAATTATCATTTCAGGTGTCACTAAATTTTTGGACAGAAATCACTGAACTGCTCTTTGAATGAAAAGTTAGGCTCCTCTGTGACTGGAAAATTTAAAGGAACTTGCAGTAGCATTACAAAACATGTGACATCATATGTGTCACTACTTTACTGGAGAAGAAATGAGGAAGAAATACCCTTAACTATGAGTCATATGTGCTTTTAATTCTTTTAACTTATCAAGATGATTTCTGATTGTTTCAGCATTAAGAAAGCACCATATAAAATAAGCCCTCATGCTGATTGTAGAATAAATTATGAAAATTAAAAATAATTTGCATATGTTCTTATTTTTACATCACTTATTTGAAAATCAGGAATCAACTTTGATGTCATGGTTTGACATGATGGGTGAATGGTGAATGGGAGGAGGAAATGGGTTCATGGAAGTATGCTATTGAGAAAGATGCAGTGGATGTGGTGAAATGATGACTGTATCTACAAAGGATTTTTTTTTTCTGTGAAAGAGCCACTTTTTGCCCACTCACGTTCTACAGAAAATGTTTATGTGTTTTTGGGTTCACTCCTCATTATTTTTCAAATCTGAGTTCAGCTTAACTTTTTAAAAACATAATCAACTGCAGTTGCAGCATGTCCAGTCTTAGCTGACAAAGCACCAATTAGTGAATTCATAATTCCTGTACCTTGAATGAAAAGCTTCCTGTTTGCAGGTTCAGCCTTTTTATTGTTTGTTGCTGAGCCAAGAATCATTGATGAGCAAGCTTTCAGTTGCCTTTTGAATATTCTGTATTAATTCTCCCCTATTATCTGCTTTTGGTGGCTGTTCCTATTATCCATGTTCTCTTATATATATTTCTTTTTTAAATAGAAAAATGTATTTTTTTAGATACAAAAAGCACCATAAAAAGAAATAAACAATTACTCTCCCACCTTGAAACTTGGAGAGCTGTAATTGTCAGTCGGCAATAGTGAGCAAGATGGATTAGCTTAGTATAAGGCAGCTTCCTGTGTTCTCATGATGAGATATATGCTGGCACCCTTCAGGATTTTCCTTTTCTTTCTCCCCTTCTTTTTCCTGAACCAGAGTCTATTCGATAGCATCAAGAACGAACCATTCTCCATCCCAGAAGATGATGGAAACGATCTCACCCACACCTTCTTCAACCCAAGTCGAGAAGGTTGGCTTCTAAAACTAGGTAATACATTTGTATTTCATTGAGCCCCCTGCTAGTTTAGTACACTCCACCATATATCAACCTTTTCTCTCAAGGAAACTGGCAAAGTCTTCAAATTAATTTAGGACTGCAGCAGCCCACCTTCTGTTGTGTGATGGGCCGACAGTGACCCCTGGCGTTCAGTTCTGTGATGTAGTCCCTGAAGCTTCCTGTTTCTCCAGACAGCTTGCCTTTGGCGAGATTGAATGCACAAGGCTCCCTTCAGCTAGGATCAAAAGAAGTAGATTCTTCTCTGTCCTCTGCTGACCTGGCAGTCCTTTGAATCTTTGGACTGGGAGGAAAGAGACCCAGGGAAAGGGCTGCTTGGGAAAATCTTTTCAAAATGGCATGTTGTTCACGCAGTGGATTGAGCAGAGAGGTGGGTGTTTGTGTGCTCAAATCAGGGAACCCAGGGAACTTGTTCATTGAATCAAAAATCAATCCTGTTTGTTCACAAGATTCAAGGTGTGTAATGCTTGAACAAATCTCCTGTTTTATTTCCCAAATGCTGGAGGGAAAAATAGTAACCCAAGACTGCCCAGTAACAATAATTCCTGAACCAAAAATGATTGATTACAATGAGTCTTCAGACCAGACAACTGAAATGCAGTAAGAGTGATGACATTGACGTGAGTTGTAAAATTGACTCTGATCGACAAAGAGAAAATGAAATTTTGAACTGAACGGGAGCCTTGAATTGAATTTAAGTTGATCTGAATTTAGTGAAATGTCCTCCCTTCACACCATTTATAACACCAGTTCTTTCTGATGAGCCCATTGAACGATAGGGATTACTTAGACATGGATAAGACTACTCCAATAGTTCTCAATCTGTGATCTCCGAGATGTGCATCTATATGCAAGATATTTCATTTTGGCAGAAAAAAAATTAAATGGAAAGATACAGAATGGGGAATGCCTGGCTCGGCAGCAGTACATGTGAAAAAGATCTTGGAGTCATCAGGGACAATGAGTTAAACATGAGCCAATAATGTGACGTGGCAGCTAAAAAGCCAATGGGATTTTGATCTGCATAAATAGGAGTGTCATGTCTAGATCCAGAGAAATCATGCTACCCTTCTATTCTGCTCTGACCACACCTGGAATACTGTGTCCAGTTCTGGGCACTGCTATTTAAGGAGTTGTTGACAAGCTGGAATATGTCCAGAGGAGGACAACTAAAATAGTCAAGTGTCTGAAGAACAAGCCCCATGAGGAGTGGCCTAAAGAGCTGGGCATGTTTAGCCTGCAGAAGAGAAGGCTGAGAGGAGACATGATGAGGGCCATGTATAGATATGTGAGCGGAAGTCATAGGGCGGAGGGAGCAAGCTTGTTTTCTGCTGCCCTGGAGACAAGGAGAACAATGACTTCAAACTACAGGAAAGCCAGGAGATTCTATCTGACCATGAGAAAGAACTTCCTAACTGTGAGCGTTGTTGAGCAGTGGAACTTTCTGCTCTGGAGTGTGGTGGAGGCTCCTTCTTTGGAGGCTTTTAAGCAGAGGCTGGATGGTCATCCTGTCTGAAAGTATCTCCCTCTATGAACCATCACAGAGGCTAAGATCTTCTGGGGAGGCCCTTCTCTTGTGACAAATGAGGTTGGTGGGGACAAGAAATAGGGCGTGGTGGCTCCTTGGCTCTGGAACTCTCTCCCCAGTGAGATTAGATCAGCGCCCTCCCTTCTTGGCTTTAGAAAGAAAACAAATACATGGTTGTGGGACAAAGCCTTTGGCTGGTAAAAATAATACAGTGCAATGACAAGCAGAATGGTTATGGTGTACAATTTTTGGATCATGTGATTTTAATATTTATATTAAGATATTTTACTGCTTTGTTTTAATGTTTAAATGTTGTCAATGTCTCATGTTTAATGGCTTGATGATTTTAATGTATGCCAGTGTTTAGTTATTATGATTTTTCTTTTTACATGTATGTTGGCATTGAATTTTTGCCATTGATATATTGTAAACAGCCTTGGGGTGAGAAAGGAAGTATATAAATAATGTAAATAAATAAATCTGTCAGGATGTTTTGAATGTGATTTTCCTGATTCTTGGCAGGGGGTTGGACTGGATGGCCCACAAGGTATTTTCCAACTATGATTCTATGTAGAAACAATGCAGTTTGATGCTACTTTAACTGACATGGCTCAATGCTGAGTAATCCTGGGGGTTGTACTTTAGTGAGGCACCAGTAAGCATTGGGTAGAGAATTCTAAGGACCTTATAAACTACAGCTCCCTTGATCCCATAGCATTGAGGCATGATAGTTAAAGGGGCGACAAACTGCATTAACTCTACAGTGTAGATGAACTCTCAGACAGCAAAGCCAATTGCCAGGATTTCTGGATACTGAACTCCAAACCAGCTTTAGGACCAAAAGTTGAGAAATACTGAACTACATGATTTGCCTCCATTCAGCTTGTGATGTTTGTGATATCTTTCAGAATAATAATAACAGTATCTTACAACTAAAGCTGAATAAAGATGCATTTTCCAATGCGAATCTTATTTGTTTTCTTTTAAAAGTCAGCTAACTGCAACAAGACCTTTGTTGAAAAAGAAATGATCATTATCTAAATGCTTGGTATCAACGTTTTAGACATTATTTCACTTTATTCCAAATTCACCATGAAATTAATCACATGCCATGGTGAACTTGGTTATAAAATGTTAGATACCTCCAATCATGGAAACAAGGTTTTTGCTTTCCTATCTTGTTCTAAAATGTTTTTGAAATCAGAGCATGAAGTGCAAGGTTTAAAAATTAATTTGTTAACACTGAGAGTCAGAAGGGAAAGCTTTCATTTGTTGTTGTTAACATCCCAAAGACCAAAATTTAGCTTGTTGCATTAATCATAACTAGATAAATGAATTAAAGGAGGTTTTTTGGGGGGTCATGGGCCCCTTTGAGAATCGGATGGAAACTGTCAAGCCCCTCTACAAAAAAATGCTCTGAAGAAAAATTTCAAAGTAACATGAAGAGAATAGAGTAACATGAAGAGAATCATAGACACCTTGAAATTCATCCACAGAGCCCCTATATGTCTATAGTTAAGTTATAGATTAAGAACCCCTAAATAGTAAGGCTGGCCGGTTTGGTTTCGTTAATTCGTAATTCGTTAATAATTCGTTAATTTTTTCAATTACAAAACGATAACGAACCATTCTGGAGCAATTATTTAAAAAAACGAATTTTCAAAAACGTTTTGTAAATGCTTCGTATTTCGATATTGTATTCGTTTCGTTATTGTTTTGAGGTCGTTTAGTTATTATTTCCGCATGTCTGGGCCAGTTTTATGGTTTAATTAGTGAAAAAAAATTATAATATCACACCAACAGTCAACAACAGAGGGAGAGGGAAGCTTCAGAAGGTTTTGGAGGTTTTTTAGCGTATTTCGCGGTCGCGTCCGCCATTAACGAATCGATTCGTTATTGTTTCGGAAATCGATTCGTTAATCTTTTACCATTTACGAAATTTCGTAAATATCGAACTTTTTAAAAGGAAAATTTTGTAATTATTTTAAATATCGAAACAAAAAAACCCCCCAAATACAAATCGATTTTAGAAACAAATTTTTCCGTTGTTACCCAGGCCTACTAAATAGTAGTAGACTTAATCCTACTGAAGTTGTAGACTTAAATGCTATTGTTCTTCCCAAGTGAAGTACATCCATTGAATCAATGATAACTTGGCAGAACAATACTTTTGCAAGTTGCATTGACTTAATGAGCCTGTGTTAATTGCTCCTAACAGTACAATACTGGCCTTAGGTTTTGAAGAAAGATACATTCAGCTCTGAACACCCCCCCCCCCCCCCCCCCCCCCCTCCAACCATTCATTCCTTGCAATGAATAACGAGGCAAAACATTTTATTTATTGCACCACAGGAATGATATGTGCTGTTATTCAAACCTCACAGAAGGAAGGGGAGATGAATTAGCACATAACTGGTTTAATGTGACAAGCTGTTTCTAAACTGTGATAGTGAGTAGTACTGAAACCTTGTTGAACCTGATTGGGAGAAGGGTAAGCTAATTAGAATATAACTTGTTAAATCTCATTAATTATTTCATTTTTTGTTTTAGTTATTAACCTTTAAGCTAGGGCAAATATAATTTAATGATCAAATCCATCTTGGGCGGGATGAGTTAGTCTCTCCAATTAAATTTCATGCGCATTTCATTCTTCCTGCCTCCACAAGGATTATGCATTCTTTTTCCTCTGGGAAAAATATTTTGTGCTTATTTTTCAAAAGGTGAGCATCTTTCAAAAGGTGAACATTTTCAGCCTCAAATCTACATCATCCTGCTCGTAGTAATCAAGCATGTGTTTTTTGAATATATGGATTTGCCCACATTGTTGTTGTTTAGTTGCATGACTTCAAATCATTCCTGATGACTGGCAACCCTAAGCTAAAGCAAATTTAGGTGACACAATGGGTTAAACCCTTGAGCCGGCAGGATTGAAGACCAACAAGTCAGAAGTTCGAATCTGGGAAGAGTGTGGATGAGCTCCCTTTGTCAGCTCCAGCTCCCCATGTGCAGACATGAGAGAAGCCTCCCACGAGGATGGTAAAACATCAAAGCATCCCCTGGGCACCGTCCTTGCAGACGGTCAATTATCTCACACCAGAAGCGACTTGCAGTTGCTACTGACACACACACACAAAAAATTACAGGGTTTTCTTGGCAAGATTTGTTGAGAGGGGGGTTGACCTTGCCTTCCTCTGAGGGTTTTCTACATAAGAGCTTTCTATGGATAAATGAGATTTCAAACCCTGGTCTCCCAGCACACAAACCATGTGGCTCTCCTTTCCCATATACATTGTTCAAATATGAACATGTTTTTGAACTTTTTTTGCTGTTTTGGAAATGGACCTGTCAATCCATACATTTGTAGATTTCCAGTCACTAATTGCATCTGTGTCTGTGGTGAATTATGGGAACTGTGAATTGCTCAACCTCATGCTAGAATGCAAATCTAGTGAATTTTTCAACTATCCCCATTATTCCTTAGGTGCATCTAACATTTGTTGATATATGTGCATATTTTGATTCTTTTTGTTCTAGGAGGCAGAGTGAAGACCTGGAAACGGCGTTGGTTTATTCTCACAGATAACTGCCTCTACTACTTCGAATATACCACGGTAAGAGCTGCTTTCCACTGAAACAAACTCGATCTCAGTGGTGTATTTTAAGAGAATGAATGACATCTTCTGCTTCACAGCCAGCACTAAAAACCAGACAGATCAGAGGAGCTGCCCCAGGCTCCCAAATGAAATTTTGAGTAGCATGCTGAGCTGAGCCTGCTTTTGCCAGTAGGGAGCATGGCTGAGTTACGGCTAGGCTCCAAAATCTCACGGAGGAACCTGGCAGATTGGAAATGAAGTGCTGGAAAAATCTGACATGCATTTGACTCAAATATATCCATACAAGGGCGGGTGCATGGAAATCTAGGTAATCTGCAGCTGAGATCAAATATGTAGAGGAAGATTACAGAAAAAATGATTGCCAATTATTGTATCTGTTTTGGAGTTTGAATATTTTGATTATATATCTTGGTGCGGAAGGGAGGTCATTGTATGCAGCCCTAGTTGTAAATCCTATTGTTTTATCAATATGGATTATAATCCAATTCCTTAAATGCATTGATGGGATCATAATATTCAAGATGTGGGACTAAATGCAAAGTTTTGTGAAAAGTGTGTGTTGGAAGGCGGGGGAGAGATGCAAAGGGCATGGCATCCAGCTCAGACCAGAAAAACTGACAGATGTGGAGTGGCTCTCTACTCTCTTCATTGTACCATCTTCTGCTTCATCAAACTAGAGAAAAAAAATCCACTTAAAATCCGGTTTCTGCCTGCTGCAGAATTATGGTGTTTGTAGTTTAGTGAGGCTGTTAAAGGCTCCTTCCTAAACTACAAAACCCAGAATTCTCAGGAGGCAGAAACTGGACTTTAAGCGGAAATAATATTTTAATTATTCATTCCCAGGGCACAAAACAGGTTTCCCATGAGTTAGGAAATTCTGCCAGGAAAAATAAGAGACCAACAAGAATTTTGCGCACCCCTCTTCCATTATTTGAACATCCCAAAATGTTGTGGAGGAATTATTCCACAGAGAAAAATGCATCAAATGTTTATCAAAAAATACTGTTTTCTCTGCAGAAAGTGGACTTCTTGCACAGAAAAAAAAAATTTCCTTTGTACCTACACAGAGAAATCATGTAGTTTTCTCCATAGAATAATTCCTCCACAACACTTTGAATTTGGAGTGAATACCGTAGAGGAATGTTTGTAGAAAATTACTATCATTATTCATCTTCATATAGGAAAAGGTAATAGCTAAAGGTTTACCAATCTTAGTGCCATCTGCTGCTCATGGGCAGAACCAATGGCTCTATGTGAAAATATTCTTGTTCTCAGTGAGGAAAAGTGTCTCGACACATGAAGAAACCAACTACCACAATAATTTTACCTTGTCTTGCACAAGATTCCAAATATTGGAGCTTTTTAAAAATCAACAGCAATAGTAACAAAAAAGACTAATTGGTTTTTTTAAAAAACAATCTTTTTATGAAATAGTTACTAAACGCTCTCAAATTGTGAAAATAAAATCAGAAGTATAAAAATTTAATTTGACCCTTTAGAGAATAAACTATGGAAATGTTTTTTTTTTTTAAAAAAAACATCCAAGAGTGAAATGTGAAGATTTACATCCCTGGTAGGGTTATACTGGGATGGGTAATGTCCCTTATAAAGTTGGAGCTTCTCCTGTCTTGCCATATTTGATCATTCACCTATTTTGGCGGCCATTTCAGATGTGTAAGAAACCAACTGATGATTTCTTGTGCTTGTCCATCTAGCCTAGAGATATATGAAGCCAACTGATGATTTCCTGTGCTTGTCCATCTAACCAAGATATATATTTTGTGACTTGTTTAAAATTTTACTTTTCTATTGCTAAATTGACATGCATGCAGCAACTGGGAATGGTCTCTGCCTCTGGTTGGAGGAGTGTAATTGAAGCTGTTCCTGCCCTAAACTCTTTAGGGATTAGGTATGAATCAGAGAATAACTGCTGTTTACCGTTTTCTAGGACAAAGAGCCTCTGGGGATTATTCCGCTGGAAAATCTATCTATTCGGAAAGTAGATGACCCAAAGAAACCAGTAAGTTGGTACCAGTAACTGCAATATATGGATTTGGGGAAACATTTGTGAAAGCAAACTTCTACCACATGGCTGTTCCGTCTTTCTTTTCTTTTCCATGTAGTCAAGAGGCAAAGGGAAAGAGCAGATTGCTTTTGCAGAGGTCTGAGCTATCTTTTACAGAGAGTTGTATGAGGGCAATATGAAAGTAGCACTCCAATATCAGCATATAGCCCAAGGCGCACATATGTCAAACAGCATACTTTTTGTTGTTGTTGTTGTTGTTGTTGTTGTTGTTGTTTATGATACCTAGGAATTAATTCACATGATGGGAAATTCCTTAAAGCCATATAGCTCTGCACCCAATACTCCTTGATCTTTACTCTCTTTGCTTTTTGCTGCTTCCTAACAATTCTCCACAATGCACCAACAAGTAATGTGAGACTTTTCTCACAGACAGTTAACTCAAATACCTTCAAAGCCCATTCTGGAATCTCGCTGTTCAATGAAATAGGCACCTGGAAGAGGCTAGAGAAAAAAAAATCCCAATTACTTCTGGATATAGGTATCTTTAGAGATGGATATCAGCTCAGGGAATACACCTGTCTAAAAAGACACTTGAGCAGCGGTGCTTTGTTATTAGTGTCTAGTCTAATCAAGATCTTGAGTGCTCTTTAGCAATGTCAGTCTGCACAATCTCATCTGAAAGTTACAATGGAAGGGAAACTGAAGCCAGATCCAAACAAATGATTTCTCCCAATAGCACTCCTCTAAGAATGGAGCTCCCCAATTCAGCAGACTCCTTGATAGCTTCACTAGCAATGCCCTTGAGGAAAGAGGAACCGTTCCTCTATCAGGATTTTGCAAAGGATACACAATGCCACTTGCCACAGCTGAAACTGAACAAAGGAGCAGTGGTGGTAGAAGCAATTAGTTTGCTCCAAAAGCTTGGCACTCAAAACTCAGTAATTAAATTGTTCCAAGCTTGTTTTGACTATGCCTCTCAGAATCCCCCAACCAGCATGCTGAGTGGGGTACAGTGATGAAATGTAATGCACACACATACACACACAGAGGAGCTTTTCTGATATCTTCAGTTACCATTCAGGTTGTGTCCTTTTTGAATTTTGTGAATTTTGTAGTTGTTGGCTGATGCTGACAGGAGAATTCTAAGAGCTGTGCTAAAAAAATCCTCCACTTTGCCTGTAAGTGGACACCAATCATTCAATTTGTTGAAAATCATTTGAGTCCATTAAACTGGCAATTTTGCAGCAGGGTGTGTGATTCTTAAGAGCCAGTATGGTGTAATGATTTCAAACTTGGACTGTAACACTGCAGATAAAGGTTTGAATCCCCACTCAGTCCTGGAAACACATTGGGCAATACACACAATCTCAGCCTCAGAGGAAGGCAAATGTCCTGCCCCCTCCTCCCCCAAAGAAATTTGCAAACAAAACCTTGTGATGCATTCATTTTAGGATTGCCATTGGTTGGAAATAACTTGAAATGTGATTCCTGCCAAGGCTATAGAGATCAAAATGCCCTCCATTAGGTCAGCTAGTTGTGAGTGCAAAGGGATTGCTGGTCAGCATGCTGTCTTTTTTAGAAAACTGATGCTAAGGCTGGCAAATATAATCCCTTATTCATGTAACCTGGAAGGAGTTCTTACTTTACTCAATGGAACGTTCTTCCAAGTAAGCATCCATAAGATTGGGCTGCGTGGAACTATGCCATTGCAATGTATTGTTGAAGGCTTTCATGGCCAGAATCACTAGGTTGTTGTAAGGTTTTTGGGCTGTATGGCCATGTTACAAAAGCATTCTCTCCTGATGTTTCACCTGCATCTATGGCAGGCATCCTCAGTGGTTATGAGGCCTGTTGGAAACTATGAAAATTGGGTTTATATATTTGTGGAATGTCCAGGGTTGGAGAAAGAACTCTTGTCTGTTGGAGGTAGGTGTGAATGTTTCAACTGGCCACCTTGATTAGCATTTAATGGCCTAGCAGTTTCAAGGTCTGGTTTGTTACCTCCTGGGGGAATCCTTTGTTGAGAGGTGATTAGCTGTCCCTGATTGTTTCTTGTATTGAGTTCCCATTTTTGAGTGTTGTTCTTTATTTACTGTTATAATTTTAGAGTTTTTTAAATACTTGTAGCCAGATTTTGTTCATTTTCATGGTTTCTTCCTTTCTGTTGAAATTGCCATGACATTTCTTAATTTTTCAATTTGAGCTTTTAAAAAAGCAGTCCACAATTGCAAAGACCCCATTCAAACATCAAGCCTTATTCTGAGTTTCATTTTGATCCAGCATATGGGTTTCGCTTGTTGGTCAGCACTCTCAAATACCCTCAACAAGTGTTGGATGTGTTAGAGAGTAACTCCCAGCATTATATACAGAGGACAACTAAGAATCAACTGGATCTACCTACCTGTTGGCTTACAATTCAATGCTTGATTCAATGTGTCTATGTGATTCAATGTGATTCAATGTGACTCAACAACAGATTCCCAAATACTTTATGGGAAACACTAATAATTTTTTAGTAGAAAAAAGTTAGGTCATATACAAAAATGTACCCCAAAGCACAATGTTTCGGTACAAAAAAAGGATTTGCTGAGATAAACATATTCAAGGGGAATGAGAAAATTTGCAAAATCTAAAGAAAAGGCAAGGTATAAACTAACTAGCTAAACAAACAATTAAAATAATAGAGACACATCTCACAGGATCAAAAGGTCAGGACATTTTGATTAGCAGGAACTGTCATCCCTAATGCCATTCTGAGAAAGTCAACTAATAAACTGGATATATGCTGTGACTTTTTGATGTGGCTGTGCTTGTGTACATGCACAAAGAAATATCACCCACCTATATGTGGGAGTGGGGGTGGAAAGAGGGATGTAGGAATGACTCCACCGTGTGCTTGCATTTTTGTGCTTTTGTTAGGGTTTACATTGATCCAGAAGATATGTGCCAGGTCAGTTTAGATAAAATTTGCGAAGAATAAATACCTCCAGTAAATAAAATAAGTCAATACTGTGGCATTCTCTTCTGCAAAAATAACACGCTGTCGACAAATTGGAAAGTAAATGCACCACTGAGGCATGAGATGTGTAGCAATTTCCTTGGGATCAAGCAGTCAGTTCTTGTCAGAAAAGGAAATGCATTCCAAGGACTTCAATCTAATATTCTTGCTGCTGAATCATGTGGGATTCCATTATATGTATGCGTGAAGACACAGAAAAGGTTTCCTTGCTGCTTTTTTAACCTGGAGCCCAACACACACATACACATGCCTGATCCCAGAACTTTTAGCTTTGTTGATCTTCGGACTTTGATTCCCTTCTATGTTCTCCCCTCAGAATTGTTTTGAGCTCTTCAATGCAAACTGCAAAGGACAGAAGATCAAAGCCTGCAAGACTGATGGGGATGGGAAGGTAGTGGAAGGCAAGCACCAATCCTACAAGATTTCCGCAGCTTTGCCAGAGGAACGTGATCAATGGATTGAAGCAATACGGTGAGGGAAAAGGTTATTGGGGTCAACTGGGAGATGAAGAGAGAGAAAATGCCAAGAGATAAAGAACGTAATTGTATTTCTCAGTTCAAAAAATCAGGTATTTTCTATTTATAGCCCATTTTTCTACCATCATGAGTCCAAGGCAATGTACCAATATTCACATTTGGGTTCAGGATTATAGTAGATCCTTTGAATCCATGATTCCCAGTGATCATGGATTGTCATGCCCCATATAAGCAAATGTTCATGATGTCAATGTAGACACATTGATGCATGCACATTTGCATTACCACCATTTAAAAATATAAGGTGTGATTACCCACATTTTTTTCATATCCATGGAGGGTCCCAGAACCAAATCTCCATGGATATGGTGAGCACACTGTGTTTTCAAACAGTGAGATGACAGAGAAGCAGCTTTTGATGATACAAACTGGCAGGTATGGACAAGTGCAGAAGATCAACAACACATTTTGAAGTTACTAACTAAACATTTTCTCCCTGGTAATCAATGAGATTGAATATGAGACAAATATTATGAGTTCATGGGTAAAAATATGCAACTCTGTTTCAATATGAATACCCAGAAATGGTTTAGCATTGTTCTTTTTATTAGCCACACCACATTACTATTGTCCTAGTCCCTCCCCACCACCCTACGAGATTTGTGCTGATCATCAGGTGGTTCAGATAAGTAAAGGTAAAGGTTTCCCCCTGACATTAAGTCCAGTCATGTCCAACTCTGGGGATTGGTGCTCATCTCCATCTCTAAACCAAAGAGCCAGTGTTGTCCATAGACACCTCCAAGGTCATGTTACCAGCATGACTGCATAGAGCGCCTTTACCTTCCTGCTGGAGTGGTACCTATTGATCTATTCACATTTGCATGTTTTCGAACTACTAGGTTGTCAGAAGCTGGGGATAACAGCAGGAGCTCACGCCGCTCCCTGAATTCGAACCTGTGACCTATCAGTTAGCAAGTTCAGAAGCTCAGCGCTTTTGCCCACTGCAGCACCGGGGGGCATATGCCATGGTTCAGATGCTTTCCCAAATAATGAGCTCCACAGAGGAATCCAACACGCCCAGCATCCTCCTTGCTACAGTGAACAATCGAAGATCTTTAGGCAGGACTGTCCCAAAATATGTTTCTGCTTGATGGAATCTCTTCTCCATTTCCCAAACTAGCTTGACCAGTAGTTGAATGTTGGCCAATGAACAGGGGGCTCTGACTTACCTGAAGACATCAGAGTAAACAAGACAGTAAACAAAAAAGCTGTCTATTACACACAGGAAGGGAGGAAAGCTTTCCTTAAGTGAGGGAATTGTCCAGGAGACTTAGGAGGAACAATTGTGGCAGGGCTCCCATTAGTATATCTCAGTACCTGTCACTAATACGGTTGCTTTCCCCTTGCTAATAGTAGAGCCAGCCACACCTTGAGCAGGGAGGCAATAGTTTCCTTTGTTCTCATTCCTAGAAACTGGTATTAATTCAATGGTGGGAGCTTTTGTTTTGCTGGGTACAGAATCCCTCAGCCAATGTGGCTATACTGGATAAGGGATTCCGAAAGTTGTTCCAAAAATAGGCATTCTGCACATATTTTATTTATGGCCTATATTAATTCTAAGCATAGAAGTAGCTATGATATAGCCTGGCCCTTCCACCTGATTTACTACTGTGTCAAGTTCCATGTATCCTGCAAAAGAAAGTGATGCCAAAGTCTTCAATTCCTTCCATTTTTCTTTCTTTTAGAACCAGCATCACTCAAGATCCCTTTTATGACCTGGTTGCTGCACGTAAGAAAAAGATTGCCAGCAAAAAGTGAGCTGTCTTTTTCATCACTGCAAGAACATGGACATAGTGGATGCCTACCACTAAAAAGAATTCATAATCCAGATCTTCTTCCTGTCTGAGCAGCAGGAAACAACAGCCACCTATTTTCTGTCTATTCAATGACTGGCAGCATAATAAAATGCCTTTTCTTTCCTCTCCCAAAGCCTAAAGAAACAGATAACACTGCAGGAGTTATGACTCAATTTCCCTTGCTAGTAACAGGCAACATTTGCCTGCCATGGAGCACGTTTGGGATGTTTTAAATATATCAATTAATGACCTGGGTTAAAAAAAAAACCCAGGAAGAAAGGCATCTTCCCTGGAAATGGCCAGAGCAGATGCTTAGTTTTGTGTATATTTGAAGCAGAAAGACTTTCATACATGAATTCCTGCCTAATATGTTGTCTCGGGATATCTGAAATAACTATGCAGTTTGAGTTATGTAGTATGCAATTAATTAATTCATTTGGAAGAACAGAATGAAGAACAATGTTACCGAGTGGAAATGGAATAATATAATGCATGGGGGCCTTGCCAGTGTGTGTGTGTGTGTGTGTGTGTGAGGGTAGTTGGCTTTGTGAGCTTGACACATAGCCCCTTTGCGCTTCTGAACTTCTGCCAAGACTACCATAAAACTGGCTTCTCAGGTCAGAAGCCGTAAGCCAAGAGTTGGCTCTGGAAGAACCATCCAAGAAGTGATACGTTCCTATGTTTTTTTAGCTGCCTGCCAGTGATTGAGGAGAATGAAGATATTCATAAGAATAGGTTGTCTACTTCATTCTTACTTAGAAAGAGTTGCTGGTTCACCAGGCGGAGAGCCAGGTTTGGAAAGATTAGTGCCTAGGTAATGTTTTTTGGCTGGTGTTATGCAGTCTGAGCTCCATAGAGTGGCATGAATTCATGTTTTATTTTGGGCAGAACTGTGTTGTCATACACATTACTCCCTCTCCATCTCAAATTTCTTATATGTAATTTTTTTTCATGTCAGGAGCAACTTGAGAAATTGCAAGTTGCTTCTGGAGTGAGAGAATTGGCAGTCTGCAAGGACATTGCCCAGGGGACATCTGTATGTTTGGATGCTTTACCATCCTTGTGGGAGGCTTCTCTCATGTCCCCACATGGGGAGCTGGAGCTGACAGAGGGAGCTCATCCGCACTCTCCCCGGATTCAAACCTGCGACCTGTCAGTCTTCAGTTCTGCCGGCACAAGGGTTTAACCCACTGTGCCATCGGGGGTTCCAAGTGTAAAAATGAATATATGAGTAATGATTTCTTTGTGTTACTGTGAAAATGAACTGAATTATCGTGAAAAGGATAACCTCTCTATAAAGTAAGGATTGAGAGAGTCCTTGCTTTTAGAATCCCTTTTTTCCTTCTTAGGAAAAAGGTTATCTCTGAGCATGTGCTGAATTCAGAATTATGTAGCTGATAATATCCCCACATGCTCACTGGCCTTTGCTTGCAGCATTCATTCCAGTATTACTTTTCAGTAATGTGATTTGAGTAAATAAATCTTGATTTTAAAAGTGTTGCTATTTTCAGACAATTGGAAATCTGAAGTCCTTAAATAAAAATTACCCAGAGAATTACTTGTAGATCCCAAACTATATTCAACACATGTCTGGTGTCAAGCACTTTGTAAAACGAAAGTACTATTTCATTGATAAGTAGGAGTTTAAAAAAAAAAATTTAAATGCATATGATGATGTTTCTATTCAATGTGCCTATTAGAAGAGGTAAAGGTAAAGGTTTCCCCTTGACATTAAGTCTAGTTGAGTACAACTCTGGGGAGTGGTGCTCATATCCATTTCTAAGCTGAAGAGCCGCCGTTGTCCGTATACGCCAAGGTCATGACTGCATAGAGTGCTGTTATCTTTCTGCCGAAGCGATACCTATTGATCTACTAACATTTGCATGTTTTAGAACTACTACTAAGTTTGGCAGCTTATCAGTTTAACCTGCTGCGCCACCACGGCCCCATATTAGAAGAGAGAGTGAAATTAAATAGGGGTGTTTTGTCAAACAATGTAGTTATGACCATTTTTCTTTGTAAATAAAATCATAAAGAGAATAAAACATCCTGCAGTTTTTATACTTTCAGTATCTGTTTTGTTTTATCAATACCATACAGAGATGATGGGACCGTCTGTATCTGTAGTCCTTTCTCCCCAGCAGAGACTTTGCTCACTTAATATCTCAGAAACATCGATTGATGAGGCACATGGTTTATTTGCCAGATGTCTCAAGTTCAGCCCTTGGCATCTCCAGACAAAGCTGGCACAGACCTTTGTCAGAAGCCCTGGGAATCTGTTGTTAGGCAAAGATAACACACTATTAGATAGGCTAAGGAGCTAATGATGTTTTACAACATATTTACACAGATTTATTTATTCATTACTGTGTTCTTTCATATTGCTTCTGTACCATTGGATAAAATAAATATCCAAGCTGTTTATATTGCAATGGTTGTATGGTAGAGGAATAAAATCATTATAATAAGCTATTTTAATATAATAAATGAATTATACATTATTGAAATAACATAGCCATCATAATCTTGACTCAAACAAACAGAGCAGGCATAGCATGCCTAGATGCCTTGAAGTCCCACATCATAGGGTCTTAGACTTTCTCTTGCAGTTTTCAGAGTTAACAGGAAAAATCTCATACTATGAGCGTTGCCCTGAAAAATGTATGTGTGTGCTCCTCACTTGTTAGACTTGACATTTATATCTGAATGGCACATAAAGTGTGACTGCAGTTGATGCTTAAGATGTCATCACCAGGTAAAGCACCCTTGTAACATTCATCCTTATACCACTAGGGTGTGTTCCCTAGGATATCAAAATGAGTTGCCTGATAAGTCTCAGGTTTTGTCCCTGAAACCTCAGGGTCTGTGAAAGGCTTGACCTGTCAAACTTATAGAAGGCATGGATGATCAAATATGATTTCAATAACTCTCTTAAACTACACTGGGAAGAATGGTGCTGAATCACTGGGAAGAACCCATGTTGTTGTTGTTTATTCATTCAGTCACTTTCACTTTGTGACCTCCTGGATCAGCCCATGCCAGAGCTCCCTGTTGGCTGTGGCCACCCCCAGTTCTTTCAAGGTCAAGCCAGTCACTTCAAGGATACCATACATCCATCTTGCCCTTGGTTGGCCCCTCTTCCTTTTTCCTTCCATTTTCCCCAGCGTCATTATCTTCTCCAAGCTATCCTGTCTTCTCATTATGTTAGCCAAAGTACTTCACCTTTGCCTCTAATATCCTTCTCCCCAGTGAGCAGTTGGGCATTATTTCCTGGAGGATGGACTGGTTTGATCTTCTCGTGGTCTAAGTCACTCTAGTCGTCACTATTTTATCAAGATTGGTCATTGCTCTCCACCCAAAAAGGAAACATCTTCTGATTTCCTGGCTGCAGTCTGCATCTGCAGTAATCTTCGCACCTAGAAATACAAAGTCTGTCACGGCCTCCATGTTCACTCCCTCTATTTGCCAATTATCAATCAGTCTGGTTGCCATAATCATGTTTTTTATGTTTAACTACAACCCAGCTTTTACACTTTCTTCTTTCACCTTGGTTATAAGGCTCCTCATCTCCTCCTTGCTTTCAGCCATCAAAGTGGTATCATCTGCATATCTATGGTCCTTAATGTAATGTAAAGACTAAGTTTCCCATGTTACCACCTGTTTAGAAATTAACTTGATGTTACACAAAGATGCAGAAGATATTCTCTATAGGATAAAAATATTACATTCAGATATCCATTGCAAATGTCACCCCTGCCACCAGGTGAACTTATTTCTCCCTTGCAAATAGTAGCCCTGTGCTGCCCTGATTCAGACTGGAACAAGAATAGGAGTGAAAGGTTAACTGCTTCACAATGGCGTGGTGGCAATGCATCTTGGGAGTCCTCCATGGCTGTTTAAAGAACCAGCCAAGCAAAAGCTGAAGATATAAGATGCATTCTGCTTAATTTGTTCCTTGGATATATTTCTCCATCATCTTCAAAATTGGAATTTTACCAACAGATCTTTCAGGATAATTATCAAAGCATGCGATAGAAGGATAATGAAACTAGCAAAAATTCTCTAGAAATTATAGCTAATATTGATTATAATCAAGACTGTACGTGTGTTCAATACTATATCAATAAAGTAAGTTAAGAATCATGCTAAGTACAATGTGAACTCCATTCAGGTTTAACCATATAAAATCTCTATTTTCATTTCTATAAGAAACAAGTTTTTAGCCCTCCTGCTTTTAAAGACTGTCTTGAAAACATGAAAATACCACCCAAGAAGGATTGGCATAAGGTTTGGGTTGCAGGGCTGCATTTTCTCCTTGGAGTATAGACCTAGAAATTTGTCATTGTCAGGAGTCTGAGTTTCCCACTCTCCACTGGAATTCTTGTTTCATTCTGTTTCTATATTAGCTTGTGAGACTCTTCTCCCTGCCAAGAAATTTGTTTATATTTTGTGCATGTAATTTTGTTCTTTGTGAAAATCCCAGCATTTTTTTTCTTTCACATTTTATGGTAAAATGTGCATTTTTTAGACAGACTAAAAAGGATTCACTAAATTTCTTTAATGTATGCATTGGCTTGCACACCTTCCTCTATCCCCCAAATGCATTACAAGTAGAACAAACGTTCAGCTTTTCTGAGATAAGCTCTTATCCATTCCATAGGGAGTCTCAGGACCTGCTAAACAGGCCTTTCCACATTGAAATGTGCATCCCACACATTTCTCCAAATACCTTGTGTGGATTAACATAATCCCGATCACAATATTCATTATGCAGTAGTGACCTGAAAAGCAGAGAGAATGCAAGTGCAGGAAGCAAAGATGATCATGGGAATGCTCCTTCCTTCTCTTGGCTATTCTTGATTTGCCAAACAGGTTCTTGCATCTTAGGGTCTCAAGGTGATGGGGAGAAAACTCAGGGCAAGAGCACTGTATTTTCTTCATTTGTTAGATTGTGATTTTCTTATTTAAATGATATACTGTGTTTAATTGTAATGGCTGATTAAAGCATTGTGCTTAACAACATCACCAGGACCTATTCTCCATAAATCATAAGATATTGTCTCTAATTGTTAGGCTTCGTTCATGAAATTTCACACCCTGAAACAATCCTGACCTGGTAGTTCTACCGCCAACCCCTTCAGAGCAGCTCTTATTTTTCCATTTTCCATCTTGCCTTAATCTTGCATTTTTCTCTCTGCAATCCAATTTCTCATCTCTCCTCCTGAAGGGGGCTCTGTCCACAAGGAAATCCATACAGCAAGTGCTTCTGAAGCAGCCAGTTCATCTGCCTCCCCCTTTCTTTCTTTTCTTTTTTGGCCAATGCAACAGGGCAGCTGAATTAATTTCAACAGGCAGAGTGAACAGATCTTAGAGTCAAGGCACGTGCAGACCTGGGAGAAGGAGCATGAAGGTTTTTCTTGAGTGACGGCACTGTGCTGCCTTTCTTTCCTCTAATGACGACAATGTATTGAGAATTCTCATATGTGTGTGTATGTGTATCCATGTGTGTGTGTGTTTAATTTAACTGGTTAGTGCTTGTAGTGGGTCTTATCTTGACAAGAAAATCAAGCCCACCCCAAATCACTTCCCTCCACACACACGCACACACACACACACACACACACAACGAAATCCCTGTAGGTCCTCAAAGAGGTAAAACATTTTATCCAGCGGAAATGAATCAGGAAAATATATTGAAAAGGTTGAGTGTGCCAGAGGCTTTCCTATCAGCCTTGCTCTGGCCCCAAAATACTTCAAAATATTTGGGCCATGTGGCTTGCTTAATATATATTTGCTGGAGGCGGCATTTAAAAAAACCCTATTACACAGGGCAAAGAAATCCAGTTGTAGCCCTTTGTTCATTTATTTCTTCCAAGGAAAGGATGCATTTGGATAGTGTGAAATCCAGTGCCACCTCTTTCTTTCCTCCCTTTCTGCACAATAGTTGATTTCCAATATATGAGAAGGAGAAAGAAATACCCAAATGAGAGAAGATTCATATGTCCTATTTTGCAGAGAACTGATCTCTGTTTAAAGAGCAGTCAAAAGGCTAACCTCTAAAGGCCATTTCAACCACTAGTGATGGGGAGGATGGAGTGTTGTCAATATGAGCCATGTTGAGCCACCAACAAGTCTCGGTGAATGCAAATGTAGTTCTTTCCTAGTAAATATGCTTAAAATTGCAATCTTGAGAGAGACTGAGTTTAGGATTCCCAAAGGCTGGTTTA